CCTTTTCTGGTATTGGAGTGATTATTCCAATGCTTCCATCAAGGGTTCCTAGTCATGCACAAAATATCAATGATATAATTTGACGTTTGTGAATTTGGACATGCGGACGATGGTAAAAGTGTTACCGCATAGACTTAATTGTTCATATCCGTTATTCTCTTCTTCCGTCCATTTTGACTGGACGCCTTGTTCGAAGGACACATCTCTTCTTATCAACTCCTTTTTGGGCAACGATAAGATAGTTTTGACTTGTGATCCAACATGAAAATCACCCCGACGAATAAGTTTCTGGCCAGCAAATGACTGTACATCTTTTTTAGGAGGAAAATGAAATTTTTTACTACACGTTATTTATCCATGACTGGTTCGAGATAAAGCAGACTTACTGTAAGGAGCGTATTGGAACAAATGAAGGTTTTTATCCATGTCAGCTACAACGAAGTATAGGACAGGCTCGTCGATTATGAAATTTGTGCACGAGACTTCCAAAGCATGATAGTCTTTGCCCACCAGAACCAATTTTGCAGGTTCTTCCTTTGGAACATGAAATGAACATTAGATTTTAAAACCAATCCTTTTACACGTGAAATTTTGATGTTCACCTGAAAACCGAGAAACCATACACTCTTGTAAACGTCTCCTAAAAGGATGTAATCTTTAATTGACACAACACTGTTAGCGTAAATTTGAATATCAATAAAAGCTACGCTAATAAGTCGATCATTGTCTTCAAAAGCTCGAATAAATATCTTAAATTAATCAATTAATCGATTAATAAATACATAATAAATATATGATAAACGACTAACTAGAGCTCAAGAAAGATTCGAAATGCTCGAAATGTCAATTTGTTTACCTTTGGTCCAACACACGTCAACAAGTATCCGTTGACGTCACATATGGCCGTCACAGAACCCTTAACCTCTTCGTGACATAGTAACTTGTATTTATGATTGGTTTGAGGATTATCGGGCTCGGGTACAACTTCGATGATTTCGAATACATACACCTAATGGGAAATAGTAAAATAAAATAAAATAAATATATATATATGTGCGTGTGTTTGTGTTTGGTCCACAGTCAATGAGTTATCGAAAATTTGCTTACATTTCCTCTCATCCCCACATCCTCTCCTCGGAAGAATCCGGTGCCAATTGCAATAAAAGATTTTCGACCACTCGACGTTGATTTTGTTTGAAGACTAACACATTTTATGCATAATCCTTGTTCATCGTCTTGAAGTTCATGCCTAAATGGTTTATCAAGGAGTTAGGACTAAGGGTTGGTCAAAGAAAACAAGGTATTGAGCAAAAGACTACGTAATCCACAGGCAAATAGAGACCTGTCTACAGTTTCCCATGTCACCGGAGATATCAACTCGAGCGTAAATCTTAGTGTTTCCGGTAAAAATTGAGCGCCATCTGTAAGTCAAGAAAACTTATTAAAGCAAACTTTAAAGTTGGTTTTGCAGGAAGCGTAGAATCAGTCATAAACCGGCAAACCAGTTACCTCGCTCTATTTCAATGGAATCACCGTTTTCATCTCGTAATAAAAATTCAACTGGAGAAGATGAGAGTAACGCGTACACCTGCATCTCCGGATGATATTCGATTCCGTGAACGGATCTATGTAGCAATATTTTCCTCACCGGCCACTCCATATCATATGTAAATTCCTTCGGCAATTCTGATAATCTGCAAACATCCTTTAAGTAATATGTTAGTTATATTATAATAAACATCTATCAGAAATAAACTTATGCCGACGTTTACCTCATTATTGGCATACAAAAACCCATGTAAACAGTGTACATTATGAAATTGTGTGAAACTTTTAATTTCATTGTCCGCACTCATCGGATGAACCCTTAGGTAATTGTTGTGCGCGCATATCAACCAAAGAGGTCTTACGCCGGTAACAAATATTCCGGTATAACCGGAAATGTTGGTAAAAGGTATTAGTCGTCTTTTCGTGTGTTTAAGAGAGACTTTGAGCCTTTCAAGGTCGTCTTCGAATTGATTTATTTCTTCATCGTTTACGTCCGTTTGGGCTGACTTTCTTGACACTGGTTTGTCATGAATGTCACTGTATATGGTCTCGCGCGAAATGTAATCATGAGAAACACGCGAAAATCGCACTGCAAGTCGGTCGACTAATTCGCCTTGAGTTTGAGACTTTTGAAAAGGATCCGTAGGGTCGATGCCAGGGACGTATCGAAAGGCTTTATATATTATAATGTCACCTACATCACTACGCGCCTTAAAAATTTGGGTTTGGCATCCATCGGAAATTAATAGACATACATGCATTGAAACTTGCTCATTCAAAAGATGAAAAAAATATATTTACGATTAGATAAGGATACTTATTGCGTTGTCCAATGTTTATTAATAAAATCTCTTGGATTTCCACCGTTTGTCCAGAAGATTTCACGTTTTGTCGTGTGTTAAAGTCCGCCAGGACGGTTGGGGATAAATCGAAATGAGGAAAATTAAAGACCTCCTCGAATTCTGGAAGTTTATAGATCTGCGAAAATTAAAAAAAAAATAAGTTAACTGTCGCGAATTGAAGGGAACATTTGAATAAGAATACTGACTGACCTCCAATGAACCATCCTGTCGATATAGTGCGCACCAATAATTTTCTCTCTGCCTCTCAACTAGATGTAAGTTGTTGACATTGACCATTTCAATGTCGTCTGACGGATTATCGTAAATGCCTTTGTCATCTACGTCCATAGTATTTTCACCTGCAACACTCTTGGATGATCCAACAGCATCACCGTAAAGGTCATCCGAATCCTCACCGTCATCTAGTTCTACTTTTCTATCACTCTTAGCGTAATCTTTTACATCTTCATTCACATGATCTTTTACAAGCGAGAAAAGACCCGTGTCATCCCGGTATATACAACATGATACGGTTGGAATCTCCTATTGAAAAATCGGCTAAGTACAAATTATCAAATTTTTTTTCAGAGTGTATCAAAGAGTTCGTACGTTAATTTGCGTAGGCGGTGGACGAAAATCGAAGCTTCTTGAACTTTCATCGGCCTTCATCAAATTAATATTTCCATCGTCAAATAATAACAGCACGTATGGATCCACGATACTTGCAAATACAATTACACCATCATTTTCTATCAACTGCGTAAGTTTTCCGTCTGAGGTTGAATGGGAGGGAGTTGACGCGATAAATACTTAAAAGCCAATACAACAGTAGAAGGATTGGACATACCTTGATCAAAAAGTCGAACCCCATTCGCATAAACTTGGAGTATATGCGTTCCACCTAAAAACGTTCCAACGGCCACGGTCGAACCCTCCGTGTAAAAATCAGAATGTTCGAGCTCCTGCAATTCTTCTCCGCAAACAAGAACCTAATAATGAAGAATTCAATTGTAATTAATATCAAAAACTCGTGAATTAGATATGAACCATTCACATGTTTACCATTGTGCTCTGTCTCTTTGAAATAAATAAAAATTTATCAAATTCCTCCACACTTCCAGTAACATTGTCGTCCACTAGTCCCGCGACATCGATGTTTTGGTACATAGGATTTCGGCAAGAAATCGTCCACATATTTACACAATCGCTCATTGGGAAAGAACTGAAGACTGTAGGATTTATGTTGCGCTAATGAAATACAAAATATTCAATATATCATTAAGCCATGCCAGACAAATTCGTTAGCCTAATTTCGAAAAATTAACTCGGTGTTACATGAAATATGCATAGCGAAGAAACTGAGCCATGTCCGGAACACGAAACCAATTCAAGATTTTTATGGACGCTATGCAAATGCGCCTCCTCCTGTAAGAATAAGTGGAGACAAGTTAATAATAAGTCTTTCACTTTACCTACTGGAAAACATTTTTCGTCTACCTCCGAGAATGTCAATTCCCCAAAGGCCATGTCCACAATTGGCCCGACGTTGGTGAGGGTGTCGCATATAACAAAGTGATAATCGGCCGTCGAATTTTTCGCGTCCGATTTTCCACCGTCACTCAGAGAATAAGAACTCATATTATTTACTATGTCAGTTTCGTACAATTCTATTTAAGACATGGGAGTATTATTTGTTAATTAAAAGGCTCCACTAGTAGACCAAAACTCCCGTTGCTCGCACCTGCATCAAAGTCAAGAGTGTTTCTTCTCGCCTAGATGTAGCATATAAAATGAGTAGCTCGTTACTTAAAATATCGATACATGCGTATACCTACTTATAAAAGAAGTAGAATTACCGTAGAATTAAAACCATTGACCATATCATTTATCTTTTGTTCGGGTTTAGACTTCTTGTACTGGATCAAATGCGAATCTCCTAAACGTGAACCCAAAAAGAAATACCCATTTGCTACATAGCAAGAACACGAAGGCAATGTGTTTGTTCCAACTTTCTTCAATTCGATTCTTGACACCGATCGTCCATCCTTTACCAATTTCATGAGGTACAAATCGCCATTTCGCAAAGCGAGCAAAATTTCATCGGAATCCAGAAAAACGTGATGCGACCCTTCTAAGGAAAGTCCTAGGTGCTCGAATGAGCGATCAAGCGGAAAATCCGTTGTAGACAGTGCATAGCCGTTAACGGACACTCCGATTCCCTTGGAACTTTGATCGACGTGTATTATCGTATTGGCCGTTATGACGAGGATTCCCCCCACAGGCTTGGGAATTGAAATTAATCTTACGCAGGAATGTGGCAAGCCATCCATCGAGTAGATGACGGGATATATTTTTTGTGAAATGTCTAATGACACCACCACAAGTGAACACGTGTCCTTATTAGAATTCAATTTTCTAAATAAAAATTAAGCAACGGGCGAATGATAATAATGATTATCTTTGAGGCCTCCGGAATCGACCGTAATCAAAAAAGCCAAACCCTAAAAATTACCCCGGCCAAGTCTGACACGGCTCAAAGAGTATTGCCAACGTCGGTTCATAATAGTCATACAGGAATCTCATGTCGATGACATTTTTTATTCGCGATTGAATGGATGATAATTCTATAACGAAACTCGGTAAATATGGCCACTTGCTGATCAATTCGTCGAATTCATTAGAAAAATGTCACCAAGAGTCGACGTAATTGAACGCTATAATTGAGGTTTGACATACCTCGCGATTTCTTCCTCATCCAGCTGCAAGGTTTCTTCCTGACGAAACGGAAGAATTGTCAATTTATCGCCAAAGAAATTCATCACGGCACACCTGTTGGATGGATCCACTCTCAACTCGGTGGGGCATGTATTCGAAAGAAATTCCAACTGATGATGGAATTAACGAGATTTTATGATGACGGCCTCATACATTATTTCCCCTATACAAGGAGATTTTTCCTCCCACAAGTGTCGAAGAAGTAGTTTGTGCAAATTTTACCTCTC